AGAAAAGTTCAGAAAGTTAAGAGTAGGCGGCCTGTGGTGGGCTTTGGATGAAAACAGACAAATGTTGGAGGGAAGAGACACAGAGCGTATGCTGAGTTGTGGTGGGCCTTGATTTACTTAAGGTGCTGATTCTTATGCCAGTCCTCCCCACCTCTACTACCCCTACGCCGCTCACACCCCCTCTCTTCCTCCCCTGTTCCACGAAAGACGGATCTCTCCACGCTTAAAAAGAGAAAAAACAGAGACCACAGCAGCAGCACACCTAGACTGTGGTTTAAGGTAGCTGCTTCTCTTTGTCTCTCCCTGTTTCACTCCCTTATCTCTCCCCCACTCCTTTTTTCTTTACAGTGTATATAGTCTGTCATGATTGTGCATTTAAAAAATCTCTTCAAAGACTTGGGTTGCTGCTTTTACAGTGGCTCAACCCTTTAAATGAAGCCATAAAGGTGATATACCAATATTTTAATTAAACCTCAAATTTTAAGCATTTTGTACAATGAAAATCCCATAAAAAATATTAATTGACTGTAGGTCACATTATATTCATACATTCTGTATAAAACCAGGAGATTGTTACACTTATAGATAAGGTAAGATCTGGTCTTCGGAGTTTGAGTGGCGCTGTAGACCATAGCTGGGCGCAAGTGATCAAGACCAAAGAAGTATTTGCCAAAAAGATGAAATAAAGTTTTACAGTGTGTGTAATTTATGCAGGACTCTGGTTGTTAACATTAATGATGTGTTTTGCAAAAATTCCATTAAATGCATTATATTGTATAAAAAGATTATGAGGCTCAATAAGTAAGGAGCATGTGTATTGCTCTTACTAAAATTACTAAAGTACAGTTTTGAGTTATTTGTACTTTGCTTCAGTGTTTACATTCTCTGCTACTTCATATTTGAACTCCACATTTCTGAACTCCTCCGCTACATTTCAGAGGTGAATACTGTACCGTTTACTCAATTACATTTATTAAATAACTTTAGTTACTTTTCAGAATCAGATTAATCAAACAAAATACAGTATAATCATAATACTTCATTGATCCCTGGTGGGAAATTCACACACTACCCAGTATGTACTTCAAATTGTAAGTATATAAGATAGTTAACATTAGCTGCAACATTGAACTGATGCACACAATAATGTATCAACACTTATAATCCAGTTATATAATACTGTATACTGTACATTCATGTGAAACGTGTCATTCTGCATGAGTACTTCTACTTTTGCTACAAGTATATTTCGATGCTAGTACTCTTGGACTTTTGCTTAATTTATCTTCTCAGTGTAGGACAAAGTATTTATATGCTGTGGTATTTCAACTTTTATGTAAGGTAAAGGATGTGAGCTCTTTTCCACCACTGCATTAAAGCTTGTCCAAGGGTTTGACATACGACTGACAATACTATTATGATATAAATATATTAAAGCTGGGGCACCCGTGAACGCAGTGTTCCTCATCTGTATTCACTTGCGGGCACCTTTGTTGCATTTCACCAATGTCAGCTGTCCAATAAATGCATAAAACCTCTGAAAAATACCGTCAAAAAGTTGTCAGTAAATGTCTCTGTCTCAGCATTAGAGGCAAAATCTGCTGACAAGTGATTTATAGTGTCTCATGAAAATGCATACATAAAAGTATCAGGATTAATATTTCAAATGTATGAATATGGCAGGGTTTTTTTTTTAAATTTCAACATTAATCACAACACATAATTCTGCTCTCGACTTTAAAATGTTCCGTGTTTTTCTGGGGCTTCACAATACCCCACTGAGAAGTGCAGGACAACAAAACTAAACAGCTTTGGTTTTACACCATTAAACTTTAAAATCTGATGTGATGTGTGTCAAGGAGAAAAGTCTCAAAGCAAATGGTTTATTTATGTTTTATGTTTTATGTTTCAAATGTATCTATATAAGAGAAGGCACTGTAAACACACAAATATGATATATTTCAGCCTGTCAGATGGGTTGTAATAAAAATATATAATGCTGCATTATTTATTACAACTGAGATCAGAGTTTCTAAGAAAGAAAAAAGTGGAGGTTATTGATGATAAACACATGTTCAAAGTCATCGGACCTGTGGAGCTGTGCTCAGCAGACAATTGTATCTGTAGTCAGGATGGAAGTTGAACAACAAGCAGAGATGGAGGGGGAGGGTCACACACAACAGAGAGATGAAGGAGGGGAGGAGAGTGAGTAGTAAAAGGAAAACACAGGTCTGGCAGGATTACAGTGAAATTTTCACTGAAGTGTATATTGTTTTCAATTTACAAAATCTTGTCTTCTGCCACACATGGCGTGAATCGGACACAGCCCTGCTTTTTTAATTTTACTCCTCAGTAAATTACACACTGATTCAGTTGTTTGAGCGGGAGTCAAAACTCCCGTAACGCCTATACTGTTTTTAAGAAAACCAAATTGAAATAAACCACTTGTCTTGGCAGCATGTTTGTTGTGTGTATGTCTACAACCGAAAAATCAGTAGGACACAAATTAAGTTAAGGTGTCTCGCCATTTTTTGTTCAAATTGTCATATTGTATTTAAAGTTCCATGCAAAATAGATGCATTAATAATGCATTATTTATTTTAAGACTATAACGATGTGATATAATGTGATGATGTTTACATTTATAATCTGTAAATGTAGCTGGTCCGGTCTGCTGCTCAACTATTTGACTAATATTTAACAATGAATTTCTACAAAACATAAAACAAGAACAAAAAAAGCAAGAGGAAATTTTATAATGTATAACATTTTTTTATAAAAATCCATTTTTATGATGCTTGTTGTTGATGATTTTTATGTTTTTTGTGTTTCTTTTAGTTTTAATCAAAGGATTGATATGTGAGTTTGAGTCTTGTCTAGTGTGTGATCAGATGAACATATAAGACTCAGACATTTCAGCCCTACTGGACTTGCTGAGCTCTGACAGGTCTAGATTTCAAAATTAGTAACAGGTATGAAAAATAATTTGACACTGAATTATGGTGTATACAGCGATAAACATTTTATATTTTGAAGTAAATGTGTTTCGCCAACATACAAAAATAAATAAAAGATAGTATACTTACAACAGGTGTTCAGTTCTGCAGCGTCCCTCTGTGTTCACCGATCCAGAGTGGGGAGGAAATGTTGAATATTTATCAAATGAACCTGCTTTTTAAGTGTGGTTGCACCTCCCTTGCCACCGATTGGTCTGGAAAACAAACACACAGTTGGTGATCAAACCCAAAATCAGAATAATGATCTTTGATTGGTTGCTAAAAAGGAAGAGGCCGAGAGCTCCTCAATAAACATTTCTTTAATATCTTAAAACAGTTTGAGTTAATCGCTCGATGACAAAACTTTATACACTGTATTATAATATTAGGTTAGAAACAAGAACAAACCCTGCCATATGTTAATTAGTAAATTAAAATACTTTAGTGATCTCTGTTCTTTACTTTGTAAACTGCCCAGTAGAAGAAGAAATAAACAATTCATCTTAATTGGCTAAAACTGTTATCTGAGCTGCTGCCTCATAATGTAAGTCGCCAAATTTGAGAAGGGTCTCACCAGAGTCATTATCTGTCTTTAGCACGTGTTAAATAGCACAGGGGTGGCTTACGGCCTAATTTATTATAACCGCTCAGGTGATTTTCCCCTGGTCATAAAATTGTACTGATTTATATACATAATTAATGTATCAGAATTCAAGTCATGTGCTGATGAACCAATCTTCACAGACGCAGCTTATTTCCAAAAGAGGCGCCCATACTCAGTGCCTAATGCAATAAGGCAAAAACAAGTTGCTGTGATGGAATTGTCTCGCAGGGACGGCTGTGCAGACAGAAGGGATATTGTGAGTTTAATATATGGAGAAATAAATGTATCAGACTTTGAATCTTAAAGTTACAACCATCGATACAGTTCATCTTCTCTCGATCGCCCTCTCACATCTCTATGACCCGTCTCCGTGTACAGCTTTACATTCTGACCTTTTGTCAACCTGGACTTTGTTTCTTTAAGGAAAATAGTTTTTGTTTATGTTAATAACAATTTTTTTTGTTTCTTACATGTTAAATGACATATAAGAAGCAAGCAAATGCTGCTGAACACTGGGACCGGCACACACCAGATTTATAGCACACAACAAGATAAATTGAGGTTGTCGAAGTCCACAAAAACTATTTGTGATACATTGTCCAAAATAGAAGATTTTTTTTAACAGGTGTCTAAACGCTAAATAAAACAAAAAACAAACAAAACATACAGACTGACAAAATATATCTCTGAAATACTCATTTAAAGTTACATAATTTCTTTCTTCCCCATCACTTAAAACCTAACAGACATAATTTGTATCTGCTTGTTACAGCGTGCCATTAAAGCTACACTGGCAATAAGTTAAATGTACTGTTATTTGGCGTCATCCAACTTAATGTCCATCATTTTAGATACAGTTCCTTGTAATTTAACATGTCGCGTTTAACTCTTTGGTTGAAAAAAAAACAAACAACTAGAATTCAAATTAAAGGTCGGTCGGTTTGAACAACTTTGTCCTGTACGACTTTGTTAGTGAAAGACCCACCAAATAGGAAGAGATGGGACTAATTCTTGTTTTCTGAGAAATTTCTATTTATCAAATGAAGCCGTAACTAGAAAATCCAGCATGTTTCAAGCTGAGATAACCAGCAATTGTCATTAAATAGAGACACAACCTAAACATAGTTCTGTGCTAAACTGTCTCTGGTGTTGGAGCTTTTAATGAAACCTGACCCATAAATTTGCCAAAATCATTACATCTGATGTTTTGCTTTTGTAGCGCAGCACCGTCCAGTTGTATTTAAATAAGTCTAGGAACATACGGTTTTGTATGTTGCAAAATCAGTGTTTCAGTTTTATTTCAAGTGTTTTGCTGATATAAAGAAACAGAACTGTCCGTCACTTTGTGTACAGTTCAGATTACACTCCTCATCAAATACTAATAGTTTTATTGCTTGTGGAGTAAATGTACACCTGTGCGGGAGCCAAACATCTGCTTGTACTTATCTCCGCTCCTAACCTGCTGAGTCTCTAATGCACTCAGCACAACAGCAATATGATATTTGTGGCTCTCTGTTTGTTCGCTCTGTTGTCTGAGTTGGTCTCTAACAGCTCATTGTGCTCCTTATTGCAGGGACTGTTACACTTACAACACCAACTATACATTGTGCGGATGTGGCATTTATTATAGGACTTAAATACCAAGAAGAACATTTGTACATTTCAAACTAATCCCAAGACTTGACAGTTTCTGAAAAGGTAAAGGAATATACAAATGAAACTTAAGATAGCTGCCACAGTTGGCGTGAGCTTAATCTTGTAAGTAAGTGCAGTCTTCAGTGGGTCAGCGTTGTAGAGAGGACCGAAAGTACAGATTCACTGAACATGTAAAGGTTTAGGGTTAGGTTGAGTATTCTTTTTCTATGAAATACAAATTATTTTTGATGAGGTGATCTGTCTAAGGAGTTCATCCCATGCTAACTAATGACAGCTACTGAACAGGGATCAATGAAGACAGGAACTGCAGAAGCACCCTGCCGAGGTGGTTTAGATACACAAACCACAACAAGGACAAAACAAACATCTTAGACACGTCTCATGTGTTTCTCTGAGGTTTCTCTGCCTGCCTCTGTGCTGCCTTCATGAAGGGTTCGCACCTGCTTCTGTTCTCTCTGAGCTCAAAATGAAACAAGCCTTTTGTTTGCTCCTTAGAACAAAACCTTCAGGTTACGGCTGCCACACAGAAACGTTTACTTCCAGTGTAAACTGATAATCTCCTCAGAACATCTGGACACAAATTATTGCAAAGAACAGGTCCAAATATTACTCTGTTTTCTTGTCAGTGGATACATAACTGTTCTCGAACTGTGATTTTGATGGAAAACACCTGAAAGTGAGGACTCCCTCATTAGTCACACACCTAACGAGGGTTTATGTACCACACTGTGTCATTACAGAAAGAGAAAAAGCCAAAAAGTGTGGGCCACAAGCAAGAATGGAGGGTGATTCACTTATTTCATATATCGCTCTTGTTTCCCCATCCTCCATTCTCTCCTACAGAGGGTTTCCCTCAGCATGCGATCTCTGTTTTCTGTGTCTGACTTTCTGTCTTAAAACCAGTTTGAGTTTATTTGTGTGAGGCAAGTTACGAAGACTAGAGGATGTCTGAGGCCCTGTGAAGATAGGAAGGCACCGAGTTCATGCTGAATGTTTTAGTGTCTGTGACTTTCAGAAATAAGCAAAATGTCAGTGGAAAAGAGGTCGAGAATCAGAAACGAGTGACATTCTGCTCAATGTCTGAAAACATTTTGACTCTTACATCATGAGGGGAACTTCATTCAAACTTCTTTGAAACCTCATAGATGTAAAACAGTACATGAAGACAGAAGTGTTGGCTTTCTTTTGCCTCTCCTGCTCACTACTTCACCTTTGTCGTTGGTACACTGCAATGGTTATTTTTTTGTATTATTTGTAGGCTGCTGTATAATCAGTTCTTCAGAATGGAAATATAGATTCTTTACATTGTGTTACAGTGAGTTTAGAGTTTAACACAAAGGCCGCTGTACAAAATAAGTATCATGTTGCATTAACAAGCCATGTTTGTGTATTATTGCTGACAAGTGGCAAGCAGAGTTATTTTTGTCATAGGAAAACTGCATCACGGCTCAGCAGCAGGCCAGCAAATATACTGTTACTGTCAAGTTTTGATTAGATTTAAGCTGATGATGTTAACGATGACGTTGGTTTACCATGGAAAAACTTCTGCGCGGTGCCACAGCGCCTACATACAGCACATCTATGAAGCATGTACTGTTTGTGCAGTTGCACATACTACGTTCCTGTACGTAAATAAAAACAACAAACTATTCATCAAAAATACTGTCAGAGCTAGAGAAGTTGTTAGTTATAGTTAGCTGTCAACAATTGTAAATGCTACCATTAAATTTTAAGACCATTATTTGTCTGTGTGGCAACGTTCAAACACGTTTCGCTGTTTGTAATAGCTGCAAAATTCATACATTTGCTATTAGATTAAGTTAACATTAGGTTCACATTTCTGAGTCTCACATACCCACCTGTACATAAGAAGATTGAAACAGCACTAAATACACTCCCTCCTAATGTGGTTTCAATGTTAGCGATGGGGGACAAATTTCACAGGTGAATTCAAAAGTTAGACTGAAGTTAAGCTGAGGCTTGAATGGTTGGAGCAGATCATTTCTACAGTTACAGTCTTTTACTATGAAATTCGTGCTTGCTTTTCCCTCTACTCCAGCTCGACAAGAAAAGGCTGACAAAACACACACACACGCAAAGTTTGGCTCTACAAACACTATAACTTTGGAACTCTGACCGCTAAACCTCATGTTAAGTTGTACATTACCCTCTACAGGACTGTAGATTTGATTTTTTACACTGGAACTGCATTATAGAACAGTATTGCTTCACCAGGATGGACAAGAGAAGCCATTACGGCAAACAAAAACTGTTTAACTTTACTATACAGATAGGTGACAAATTACTAAAATTATGCTGTTTAACACATTGCTCCAAAATCTGCCGAAGGTGTTCAGCTGGGCTGAGACCTGGTGACTGTGAAGGTCATAGCATGAGATTTACATTGTCGTTACTCATTAAACCATTCAGTGAGCCCTCGTGCCCTGTGAATGAAGACACTGTCGTTCTAGAAGAGACCACTCATTTGTCCAGGCTTTTCCTTTAATCTGTCCCCCGTCTGTATACGCATAAATTGTATGATGCTAGATTCTGTATACGCATAAATTGTATGATGCTAGATTCAGAAAAATGCAAACCTATCCTTTGGACTTTGTCGGATTTGTACTGTATGAAATTTCTCATGCATGTGCCACATACTGTAAACAGGAAGCCCAGGCATCAGTAGACTCATATACAAATAAACACAGGTGCACTGCTAAAAATTCAGTGTTTTTTGTCTGACACACACAGGTGTGCACATCCACCAGCATCTAGCTCACGGTAACAGCCTTAGAACAGTTAAACCATTATGTTTCATTTCCTGCATTACATGCACATTACCCTTAACCTACTGAGAACACGTTTAGCACTGTAACATTAAAGTTGCACAGCAGACACTAACAGGGCTTCACTCAAATCGCATTTTGTTGTAAATGAGACAACAACTTTGGCAACCTGGTAAATGCATCACTTCAAACTGAAACTGGACATTGATCTATCACAGCGCTATTTAAACACAGACGTCCTTCATCAGAATCTGCACTGAAGGGAACTGACACATGCCTGGAAGTGAGGCCACACCTGAGGGGAGTTCACAGAATGGGAAATCACCTATTAGTTGACCATTTTAATTGAAGGATTGTGTAAAGATGGTTGTTTAAAATCTACACAGTGTTGTAGTTTAGTTTGCACCTGCAATCTGAGCACAGATGACATATCCACATGCTGAGTGCTGCACCTCGTTTGAGGTCAACAATGCCGATTGGCACTCAGCATAATATGACACAAATGTGTAGCAGCTGTTTCCGTGGCTTTGTTTAACTAAAGTTATTGTTCACAGTAATACTGTGTCACTATTTCCTCAGATAGCAAAATTATATTCTCTGACCTGAATTTGGTTCCTGATGCTTTGCACTGATGGAATAAGAACCCAAGTGGAAACATAAGAAGGAGGGACAGAGTGCTTCAGAAATTTCAGTTTCATTTTGTGAGACTAGTTTTGTGTGTGTGTGTGTGTGTGTTCATTTGTGTCAGACGATGAAAAAGAGAACTGAGTAACAGCCATGAAAAGGGAATCCTAATGTCTCACATGAAGACATCCCCAGCACAACACAGACTTTGTATTTTCATAACAGAGTATGGGAAACAGCTTGGAGCCTCTAAATGTGAACATTGGCAGTAAAAGCGACTTGTTGCTTGCCACTTAACTCCAAGAAGGAGAAGTTAATACATTCAGCAAGGAAGTAAAACAGCGGCGCCTTATTTTGGCTCTGTGTTCCAGCAAGCTGGATTTGAACCAGCTTGAAAACTGAAAAGTATATGAATCATGGAATTATTTGTACATAGTCCTCCAAGTTTTAGGCCAATGCAACAGGACACTGATCCCAAACATACACAAGGCAAGCAAAGTTTTATGGCTGAACACGGGAACGTGTGACCGGCCAAGACACATACATCCACACTGGAGGCAAAATGACCCCAAAAGGCATTTTTAAACAAACTAATGCAAATTTAAATGTACATACAAAGCAAAATGTCTTTAGTAATAACATCACAATATCATTTAATGTGAGCTTTCTTATGGCTTCTTCCAAATTGATCAGACTCGATCTGGTTTTGAACGCAGCGTGAAGAGACAAAAGAGGAGTGCTAATCTCCTCTGTGGCCCGTGGTGAAAACTACTACTATTAAAGCATCTGTATAAAAACTGTCAGGTGTATTTGCTTTTTACTAATTTACTCAGGCAGGCGTGATGCTGGGCTGGCAACCTCTGCAGCAGTAGTACAGTCCTGTATGTACAGACTTCTTGGGTATTTCATAAGCTTCTGATCAGGTCTGATTTATTATTATTTTATGGTGCTGAAGTAAAACCCAAAATTGCGTGAGTGAGAGGTTGTTGATGTGCAGACTGTTAGCCTGATATGCTCAGATGTAACAAATTCTTAGCTCATCTCAAGCTCCAAAATAGCTTTGGGAATGAATTACATTTTTATTACTTGTTTACAATGTGGTACTGTGTACCGAAGTTTTTAAAATATGACTTGGAATACTTTATTCCTCCCTGCTTTAAAATCGGTTTACCAGACAAATCAGGGAGGCATGTCAGCATTTGGTAAATGTTTATTGATAGGCTTTACTCACAAACAAACTAGTCTGACCTCTGGGCGTTAACGTTATCTAACAGACCTTTTTCACAAGAGCCGTTTCAGCGTGTGGAAGTCAGAAAAGCACAGGTGTAAATAATAAAATTTATGACGGCTGAATTCCATGTAGCTGCCTCGGTTTCAGGGTCCTGGTATTGTGCGTGCTGGCTCATTGTCACGGTGACATGTGAATGACACTGACACACTGTTGATGTTATTAGTAACACCTGTGCTTTACCTTCTATCACTATGTTAAAATGTCTACTGTGAAAAGGCTTTTTTAGATGACTGTCTAAAAGAGCCAGCAGTAACACTGTGTGTTCCAGTTTTGACCAAACATGGGATTTAGTTTTAAGTCTTTAGACTTTCTTCATGTTTCCTTAGAGGCAGCGCTGTGTTTATGTTACAGTTAATGAAAATATCCACTTTACGCTCTCAATTCAGTGCAATTTGTGCGTGCTGTTGAATTGCCAAGCTGTGTTACATTTATATTAGCTATGTGCCATATAGAGTATGAGGACTGCAAGAAGCACACATGTACATACGTTACAGTAGAGGAGGCCTAAACACCACATTGGTTAAAGCATTATGCACATGAAAAGCTAATTGCGCCTTTAGCCCTCTGCTGAAAATGAGTAACCCCATGAATCTGTATATGGTCCGTTCTGGCTTAGAGTAGATCTCATTCATGTCAAAGACACTATTAGTGCCTCAGAATACATAAACAAAACAAATCAGCATAATTGTTTTTCTCTAAGGTTGTTTCAAGATAGAAACATAAACCATCGTTTAACATTTCAGTGAGTACTCTGTGCTTAACACATAATATATTGTAAATATAGTGTAACATTTCAGTTAGAAAGACTTAGTGTGTCAGTAACTGATTTTTTTCAAATGCATCTGAATAAGAGCGAATTGTTTACAACATATTTTTAATTATTGGTGTTTAAAAGCAGCCACAAAACTTTTTTTTCACATCAGTCAGTCTGAAGGCCACAGAGCTGTAGCTTTTAGCAGCAACATGACACCAACAGGAACAACATATTTATTCCCTTGTGTGTTTAATGTCTTTTATATTTCCAAAGATTTGCTCGATAAGAACAGTTGGTTTGTGTGCTGCTTGCGCAAGATTAGCAGAAACATACTGTAGCACCCCATCAATGTTAACCATTGCAAAATCAGCAAAATGTCGCTGCTGTTATTGCATAAGTTTTGATTTCTAAAAAAAGAAGTGGAAAGTTGAACAGAAAGTTCTGTTTTAGGCATTTCTGGTGTGAGGTTTTGAAATCACCCTAAGGGCTGTCATCAGGAGCAGCACAACACAGAGACCGGTGAGGTCTGAACCGAGTGTCATAGAAGGTCAAATCCACAGATCAAGACGTACATTTGGAGAATAATTTAAGGCTATAAAACAGCAATTAAATCATTCTGTTTGGCTGAATTTAATCCAATTTGTGTGTTTTTATTGGCTAAATATCACAAAGCATTCGGCAATAATACTGGAAATATTCTGGCTCATCAGCTTCTTGTAGATCATTTGTGTCAGTTGTTGAGGTGAAATACAACCAACACAGATGAGACCAGACCAGGGCCAAGACAATTCAATTTGGAAATGGAACAAGACACGGGTTTTTAAAAAATGTGGCCTCAGACGACACCAGATGTGACTAATACAGCCTTGCCCCTCTGTGCCCCTTTGCTTCAGTGTACAAGAGCGAGCATCCATGAGATTTGTCAGTATTTGTTAAAACAGTTTGTTCCCTCGTAGACAGACACATTGCTATCTTTACTTAAGTATCATCTCTCTGTAAGAAAGAAAACTGGTCTAACAAGACGAGTACAGAGTGTATAAACAGTATGTGTAGAAGTACTCACGTATGTTGTGCTCAGTGCAGCGATGAGCTCAGCTCTGACACTTGGTCGGTTGTATGCACCACAGGTGTGTCTTTCATACACACACACACACACACACACACACACACAGGAAGTCAGACAGCAGTGAGATCCTATCCCCTCTGTTATGTAGTAGATGGATTACACAATTTAGACACTTCAAATTAGGATTACACACACCATGTAGACCATGTAGACATTTTCTAAAGTAGGTCTATGTTACAACAATTTCTCAACTCGCATAAGACACAATATTTTTTGGTCTTAAATATGAATATGTACGGTATGTATGTGTGTATGTATGTCAAAGGTAGTCTTGTGTTATTGTGTAAAACAGATGTTTACTCATTATACAGTATGTAGCACTGCACTGGTATCAACACCTGTTTTGTACTGCACCAGTTGTGGGGAATTCAGACCTTTGGAACCAGTGTAGACACAGTTTAAAACATATTATGGCATCAAATGGTATAGATAATATTTTATATCATTTGGAATCAGGCCAAAAAGGTCAAATCCTTAACACTTTTATTTTTAAAAACATTTTGATACTATTTATAGCTTGTATTTCTTCTTGAAATAGACATTCCTTTTGTATCCTGTAATTTGATATACTGTACGGTGAATATTATTGTTACCACTGGAGTCTGAATTGTTTTAAAACAATCTAAACACACATGAGATTCACACAAAGCAATGAATATTCATCTTTATTGTTTGTGATTTCATTTCCCTGATACACATCCCCATTCTATTATTTGAGGACTGAAGTAAATTTACAAGTATTGCAGGTGGGCATCCTTACAATTTATTGACCGCAGAAACAATAAAATACGCCAATATTTTCATGTACAACCTATAAGAACAAAGAAAAAAGATACATAAACGTTTTTCAAATACACAGAAACATCTGAATAAATGTGATTTAAGATGCAAGGCAGTACAGTAGAAGTTGGCAGTGCAGTATGAGAGGCTTAACAGGTTTATATGTTGCATAAATGTTAAAGAAATAAATACAGACTGTCGCTGTTCTCCTGCAGTGGAAGAAGCTATTTGCATTCAGTTTGCCTGTTATATCTGGTGAGAAAGCTCAAAGTGCTCACATCATTACAGCTGATTCTTATTTTCATCAGGAGCATCAAAAGCCCACTTATATTCACACTGGATTTCTCTTTCATTTTATCTGTCTATTCCTCTTTTTCCCTTCTTCTCACTCACTCTTTCATTCTTGCTTTTTCACTGTCTCTCTTTTCTTTTATCTGGCTTTCATGTGACTCCATTAGCAGGGCTGACGGCTTCTCTTTCCGGCGTCCTTGCTGTGGTTTTGCTGCAGCTGCTGGGCTGCGATAAAGAGAGCAAAGAGAAGTTTTCACACTAATTACGACACAATAATGAAATGCTCTATAAAAGGCACAGTGAAAATGAAGGTCAAAAAGTCATTAATAATGTAGAGTGAAAGCATCTGTAAAGTGAACAGAGATTACTGGAGAGGGGGTAAAAGGATTTTTTTGTTTTACTAGATAGAAGCTAGTTTACCGGTTACACTGGCAGTAGTTCTTGGGCCTCAGTGGATGTTGACCATTCCTCAGATTTTTTTTCTATAATGAAAAGAAAAAAAAAAACTACCACAGTTTTTTCCGTGTGCTTCAGCAGCTTTTATCCAAACTACTGATTTCATTTGACAAAGCAACAAATGGAGATTCTCTGCATAGTTTTCTTTAGTTACCTTCCTTCTTCTGATTCTGTTAACCAAAACAATGATGAGGACCATCAGGAGAACCACAGCCAGGCTGCCAACTGCAACTGTGACCCACACCCACCAGTCGAGCTGCTCAACACTGGTCAGTACAGAAACGTCAGTACCTGGTTGAGTGAAGATCATGGCAAAAAACAAGTGTAATGAATGACTGACACATCCTGTTTGATCATTTACACTGACAAATCACAAGCAGTACGCACAGACAGGGCAGGGTGTTGTAGGGTCGACCCGTGAGCTTTTGGCAGAGGATGCTGTAGATGGTTTAGGAGCTGAAAGACAAAACATAATGTATGTTGCTTTCTGCACTGACCACACAGGCAGCTTTTGTTGTGGACAAACAGCATAGGTCTTGGGTAAAAGCTTGTGTCCTACCATAAACCATGACTTGTAGGGTCTCACTGTAGTGCTGCCCATAATGGGAAAAGCTACACGCCCAGATCCCGTTATGTGAGAGGGCTACAGGACTGAGATGAACTGGGTTGGCGGCTAGACTTCCATCTGGCTTCTTCCACTGCACTGTAGAGCCTGGATTCAGACCACTCACGTTACATTGGAGCACAGCGTTGCTGCCCACCTGAAGTATACCATGGGGGCTGGTCCAGACTGACACAGAGATGAAACAAGAGGCGGGAGCAAGGATACAGTGAGAATCACAGAAAGAAAGGGGAGGCCCCACTGAACTAAAGATGTCATCCAGATCATTAGGAACACGCACACCTTTATGTCATAATGTATCACAGTAAAATTGATGGACAGACTGGAATATGCGACTTGTCAGGATATAAATCATGAATTTAACTCCATCAGCTTTACATATGGAGATCAGTTTTAGCACTGTAAATACTTCTCATCTTGTGAAAATTGTTGCATAATCAGGAGCTTTCTGAATAATGTCTCAACTTGGAGACAATTAATCTCTAACAGGAAGCCTCAGTTAAAACCTGTAGCAGGAGAGTTTTAAAGAAGTGGAATTTTAGCTGGCTGTGAAAGCATTATTCAGCTGAATTATGGGAAATGTAGGATCCAGTGTTTGTGGAGCTTGGGTCATATTTGGAACCAGTATGTGTGTCTTGGCCACCGCTGCTTCAATTTTGACCATTCTTTTAAAAATGTCTCTTGCAAGTCTCCTAATTTTAGGAGGGTGCGATAATAAATCCATGGAATATCTCCTGAAAAATGTTTATTTTAAATCTGTGTGCTGATTCATATTTAATGCCTTTTAATCTTTTGCGTTTAAAGTTTATTACACTTGCTCATACAATTAAAACTGACCTGTGACATTAAACTGAGTAATCAGACCTATTGCTCATATTTATTCATCCCTCTCATTCTAAATTCACTTCAAAGACTATTTTCATTACTCATTAACCTAACTGGGTGTAAAATGGGTAGATTTTCCACTTATAATAATACAATGAACATAATCGAGTAGACAAGTGTCCTATACACTTTATATTATCAATGTAATTTTCCTGATGAGGGAAACCACATGCAAAACATTTTTAGTATTGTAAATACAGTTTTCCTTGGATCTCCTGCTGACCTGAGACCACGAGGAGTGTGTGCTCTTTCTTGTAATGATCTGCCTCACAAGTGAAAGTTCCTGCATCTTTTTTGGTCACACTACTGATCACGAGGTTGTTTGCCCGCAGCGATGACCTTTGTCCAAGTGGGCTTTGGCCTAATGCAGAAAATACATGTGGTACAGTTAGTAAAAGCATTTATTTTAAAACATAATGCTCTAGACAATGTCCACACATATTTTCTAAAGTCTGCTTTTGTGAGTACTTTTCCGAAGAAGTCTGCCATCATCACTGATAATCTGCTGTGATCCACGAGACCATTTCTGGTTCTTGGCGATGGAATTGAACCCACACTCCAAGGTGACTCTCTTTCCTGTCTTTGTGTGGAACACTTCGCCTGCAGCAAAGAGTGCTCCCAGCACTGTAGAGAGACCATCACATTCATAAAGCACTTTTAATTTAGTATCATATATTCATAACAGAATACCACAAACTCTGTATTAAGACAAGGACTAATTGATGATCTTTTAATACATTTTCATTACTTTCTATGAACATTAAATTCTAAAACATATCAGGTTAAATTTCAAGAGTTTGTGGACATGCTGGACAAGTAAAGCACAACCAGTCATTCTTGACACGACATTCACAGGTACTACAATTGTCCATAAGCATAAGGGACATATTTTTATTTAAGCTATTGGCATCTCACCAGACCTCTATTTTAAGATTATTTACAATGATTTTTGAGCGGTATATTCACTTACCACACCCAAACCACACGAAGGTCTTCATTTCAAAGTCTGAGACGTATAAGAACAGACAAAAATCTGTTATTTAAAAAAAAAAAACTACAAAAAAAATGAAATTAAAGCAGTAGTTAATGTCAAGGCAACAAATTCACCCATTACAGAGACACCACACACAACTTGTGTGAGATGAACACTTTAGCAAGCAACGTGATATCTAACCACCAAGCTGCATCTCTACTTCCTTCCTTTCTCCATCTCGTTTTAAAAAAATTTAAAAATTGCTGCGCAGACTTGTTTTAAATAAACTGGAACAAATGTAACTGGGAAATTCCAGCATGTTTGGCTCCAATAACCAATAACGCATATTAAGGTGCTTTGCTGTTGATCTGTTCCAAACTTATCTGAAAGTGAGTCAGAAATGAGGTGTCAATATTAAAAAGTAATAATTTTGTTGAGTAAATTTACTTTTTAAACTACTAAGGCAAAAACCAAAAAAAATGTTTAATTTCAGGTGATTCAGTGAGTGAGACTACTTCACTGGGTCTTAACAAATTTAGGAATTAGTTTCAACAAGGAGAAAAATTACAAATATTTGATCAACCTCTCCTTTTAAAACCACATTTAATATTTTGACCATTTTGGTTACTTAAAAAAAAAAATCCAGAAATCCTCATCAAAATTATTCAAAAAGTCTCACTTAACACCATTATTAATATATTTTGCCTCACTCACTGGGCAATAGCTAAAAACTGAGATCACAAAACAGCTTTAGGCCTTGGAGACACACTGAAGCACATTTGTTTCAGAGGATCTAACTCAGGATCCTGCACTAAACATATTCAAATTAGTTTAGCTGTATTTAGGTAGGCAAAAAACCACAACCTACAAATGTTTTTTTTTTTTTTAGGCTAAAATCGGTGCATCCATCACTACGTTAAGGTTGAACTTCCGTATGAGACAAAGGAGAACTTTCAGAACCATCAGAGAAAATCTATTCATTTCATAGTACAGTATAAAACTTGATTTAATGATGTAGTACGAGATCTTACCTCAATCTGAAAGCAATGTGTCTTTTGTGCTGTTACTGAAGGCCAAAACCATTCCTCATCCTCCTCTCTGTACTGCTTCATCAAAAACAAGGGTGCAAGATGGATGCAAAACCCATAGAAGGCGGAGCAGAGAAAAAAAAAATAAAAAGAAGAGAAACCTGCTCTTCGGAAAGTTGTAGGCCAACGCCAACCCCAGCTTTCTGTGGCTTTGAGCTTCATGCCTGCACTTTCTTGAGAACCAAGTCTAGGAATTTGTACACTGTGCAGTTTTTACATGAAAGTTCTGTATAGTGGCTTAAAATAATGCTTCTTCATACTTAATTTTTAATGATGTTGAAATCGCAAGATGGAAAATGTGGAACCAACTCCATGATGCATGTGTTCAGAAAGAAAAAGGCAGGAAGACAGAAAGACAATTTTTTATTTGTCACAGCAGAAGTAACAAAGGATTTGTTTGCAAAATAAAAACAAAAATCACCCAGCTATCACCCTCACAAGCCTGTAAGAAAAAACAAGCCAATCTGTTTTGACTTTTTAAAATTTCCTTTCTGAAATACATCTGAGGTTTGTTTATTTCCTGACTTCCTCCTTTTGTGTTTGCCGACATTGTTTTACTTCCTCAGTCAGACAGGTAGAGGACCAGGTGGTGCCCAGCCTGCAACCATCTGATCAAAGAAGGGGTTGGAAGCAACATTCTGATGGAGAGGGGCAGTGACTACTCATGGCAGTGGGAATCGATAGTCGGTGACAGTTAAGCAAAGTTGTTAATAAAGTGGACTGGAGCGATGGAAGTCCCCTCCGATGTGTTGGGCCTGTACCATGAAGTAGGTTTTATGAATTTTCTAAACATTTCCTGAGTAAAACTAGAGCAAGCCTCATAACAGAACTCAGAACTTTACTCAGCAAAGTTGCACTGGTGACTGACTCTGCTCTGAACAGGCCCGTGGTTTGTAATCAGTAGATTAAAGAAAACATCTCCCCCAGCACCTTGTCTGTACATCTGCACCAATGTATTTACCTGCGTATATATGCAATCTAAGAGAAGTTATTTACATGTTTGTCAGTTGTGAAGCATGCCAGAGCATTTGTAAGAGCTTGGTGAAGTGCAACTATGAATGCTGTTGATGTGTTTGTATTGGCATCTGCATTTCTCCTCCTTCACCCCAAGAGTAGCACTCACTCCTGTGTCTCATTCGGGCACTCTCCGATAGAAGTAGAGGTATCCCAGGTCTTTGGGGGGTTTCTCTGAAGCACACACCTTCTGATCGTTGAAGATGACCCACCTGTGAAACAAAGAGATCACGCAGTTCACAGAGCTGTTAAATAACACCTGGGTTCATGGGAAGGATTATTGTAGAGATGAGGCCTGGAGTATGGTGCCCCCTGCTGAAGCCAAGTAAAATCAGCTACTTCACTGCATTTCAACTTTTGACTTTTCCCCACCATAATAGATATAAACGAACAACTGGTTAGAGATGAGAAAGCATATCTATGTACAAGATTCATTTGTATTCTAGTTCATTCTGGGAAACTACATAAAATATTGATGTGAATTCAATGTATTTTCTTTCAAGATCTGAAATCTGCAGTAATATTTTTTAACTGTTGGGATTTGGACTAAAGCTAGAAACAAATGCAAAAACAAAAATACTTACTGCTGGTCCTTCTTGATGTGACAGACGTAGTGGCCGCACATTGTGCTTGTCCCCATGTGACTGATGAATGCAAACAGCTCATACTCTGGATAAAGGAGAAGAAAAACTACAGTTTAATTGTAATTCTAAAATGCATCTGATATACTCTATAAAATCTGAAATCAATGGCTGGAAGAACATAAGACTAAGCAGAAGATGAAATATAGACAAGAGCAACATTAGATGTTTTGGATCACAACTAATTTGTGAGGACATGATCAAACTCAGTGCCTCCTCTCTCTCTCATTCTCTCTCCCTCAGACTCACTGCCTGCTCCATCTCGGACACGAGGCCCAGGGGGAGGATCCCTGCCTCCTTCGCTCTCTGCGGCTGAGCGGCCTCCTTCGGACACATCCATGGATTCCAGGTCATCTAGGTGTGAGAAGATCCAGTCCACTGCCCGGTCCAGGATGTTACTCTGTGAAGTTAAGAGTTATGAATTAGCTATATGAGAGATAATATCAACAAATAGGGGTTTCGGTCAAATATAAGCTTTATGAGGAGTTTGTTCTTAATTAAGTGCAATATTTTATTAGAGAGCCAAAGACATCTGATGCTAGTTTTAATAAAATGCAAAGGGTGTAAAATACACTGGCTGAATGTGACATAATTATGTGGCAGCTCCATTTATTTTATTTAGTTGGATTGTGATGTGACAAAAAACAAGGTACTATGAAAGTTCACTTCTATAAACGTTTGTCATCATAAAACATCTCTCACAAACAGGACTCATCAGGCCAGTTTGTGAGTATGATCAAAGTCACACTGTGAAAGGGTTGTCTGACTATACACACGGCTGGTAGCTGCTGAGGTGACAACAACAAGGGGGTGGGGGGGGAAGCTTTGTGTTGGAGGTTTGAGGGTCACCCAAACTAGTGCCTGCAGCCGTTTGCCTCACTAGTTCACCTGTGTAAAAGTGACCTGCTAACAAATAAGTGGTCAAAATATTTTTAAAAGTAGATCCTGAGCAGAGTCTATTGATCAAAATCTACATCTAACATAAGTTAAGCTTCCATGAATTACTGCACTTTAAAAAAAAAAAAAAAAAAAGTGCTTCTTGACATCTGCCTGCTACACTCATTCATCAGCAGTGACATACTATCCAGTTGTTTTGTTTCTCAGTTCTTAAACCAGTTTCGAGTCATTTAATTTGGACATACAGGTAAAAACAGTGGCTAAAGTAAATTAGTAAAGTAAAAATCCTGGTTAAGAGTAAATCAAATTTAAGACATCTTGTGCCAGTGTTGGCCAGACAGCTTAGCTTAATGCAACTGTAACTGAAACCCTGCTACTAATTTTGATGAAATATTAAGACAAACACTGTTTAAAGTCTTTGAGAATGACAAAAACCTGACTACGTCACTGTATTGGCACAGCTCAACTTTTAGACTCTAGTGGCCTGTGAAATTGGTCCAATCCCCATTTCTAGCTGGACAGAGTGTGATTCTAACCGTGGCTCGAAGTGCTTTGGTTGCCTGGTCTCGGCTGAAGCCCATGGAGACGATGGTTGCCAAGTGCTCCTCAGAGAGGCTCTCAGTGGGTGTGGTCCCAGGGCCTGAGCTGCAGCCTGGCAACACGAAGGGGGCTGAGAAGTCTGCACCCAATCAGAGACAGGAAAATATTAACACAGATGGAAAACAGATTGATAATTTGCCTTCTGGTGAAATACCACAGCACTACACACCTGGATCATCCATATGGGCCATAACCCAATTCATGGCAGCATCAATTCCAGTATTCCCAGTGTAATACACTGCTTTTCTGCAGGCTTCTGATGGGAATCCCATTTCACATAACTGGGACACAGTGGAGTCATCGAGGACCGGAGCTGAGAAAGTGTTGAGTGAAAAAAAAGGGGAATTACTTTTTTGAAAAATCAATTCACATTTACGAGTATTTACAAAAATACTGTTATTCTATTTTTGTGCCCTGAGCACTTACTAAAAAAGGTGTTCAAAACACTGACAAAAGTCAAACGGCATAATGAAAATGTACAGAAACCACAACTCATACTACAAAAACAGAGCAATTGAAATGTAATTCATCACGTCATGTAATGCAAAAGTTAATAAGGCAACATACGGACTCGAAAACAGAAAAGGTAGAAAAAAAGAAAAGGCGGAAACAAGGGCAGTCAAAAAACAGAGGAAGAGGAAAGAGCAGAAATGACAGACTGACATAGTAGTGGGGAGTAGAGCGAGTCCTCCTCCTCGTTGCCATGGGAACCCAGGATACCTTTGACCTCCACATCTGGGGTCATGAGTGGGGGTGGGGCCACCTCTGGTAGGAGCTCCTCGCCTGGCTGCTGGCCGGTTGCACGGAGCGCACTAAGGTCCAGAATATCAGGAACGTCAATGCTCACATCTGCACGAAATATAAAAAGACTGCATTAAAAAGTACCCATCATCCACTATAGTGCAAATGTTTTCCACGCCTTAATAGCAGGATGCTTTTGACTGTGAGCTCAACCCTAAAAAAGAAGATGCTGGTGTTGTCTAGCATTGTTCAAAAACTCCCAAGTCATTCAGCAGTACAAGATAGGGAAGTTTAGAAAAGTTCAGCTTCATGAAAAAGCAACAACCGAGCGGTTTCCCATTTCACCAAACCTCCTAAAAAGTACTTAAACCAAAATATAAGAACTTGTCGCCACCAGGAGATCAGTTAATTAAACATAAAACATACAAGCTTCAGGCCTTCGAGAGGCAAGAAAAGAGCCAGTCACTTACAGTATGTTAACCAGGGGTAATTCAATCTTAAATTTATTTGGGATAATGCTACTAATTTTAGTTCAACTTATAAGCACCAGTACTGTTGCTCTGGTTAGTTGCCGTCTACCATTAGCACTGACATTGAGAAGTAATTAAAGCAGTTGATTGAAGGTGCTTCAGTATATAATTAAAACAACCATGAGACCACAGTATAAAACCTGTTAAATGACGATGCCGTTTCAGGAGATTTTATACTTTTCCAGACTATACAGTGCCCTGGTTTGTCTCAGTGAACAGATTTCCAACTCCTACACAAATTTGTGTACAGTAAGAAAAATATCTCTGTTTTCAACACAAACACTTATCCTCACCCAGTTTTTTAGGCACCCAGTCCAGGCCAAAGGTAAACTTCTTAATCTGGATAACCAGATGGTCAGGGAAAGAAGCAAAGCGAGTTGTTCTGACAAATGACACAAAAGTGGAAATTAATCATCAAATCCTAAAATAGTTTCAATTACTGTCTTTTTGTATGCAAGTGGTTGTCTCTCTTCATACTTTGTAGCAGTAGTCTTGGCCTGCACAGCTGAGCTCCAGAAGTCTGGGAGGACCTCTGGTTCGCTGAGAGCAGCCATGCAAACTGTGAAGGGGATTTGTGCACGCACTGTAGAGGCTGATGTGTCCCCCTCCTCACGCCGGCGCTCTGCCTCCTGAAGCTCTTCTGTTAGGGAAAACAAAGTACATGATTTAAAAAAAAATAAAATAACATAAAAATCAAAAACGTGCGCATACTGAGTGCTGCAAAAACACAGATAGGAAACCTCTAAGATTACAAGGAGTCTTCTAGTTGAGCCTTTGTTTTTCATATTATAATATTTTATTTTTTGTCAGCCAGTGTGCATTGCAATAGAAGTTAGCCCCAGCCTGGTTGTTTGGCATCTTCTCCTCATTTTGGTGTGCCAAGCAGCAATTGGCTAAAAAAATTCCCCCTGTGGTTGGGGGGAGCATTTCCATTTCTGTGACATTGTCAGATACACAGATTTAGCTTAAGATTAGATCTATTTAGTAAATGCAGAATGAGGGGGGAAAAAAAGACCAACAAAACCCACTAGGACAAGCCACATAAAAGGTGAGATTTGTGCTTTATTAAAAGTGTTTTCAAAAATCATGGCCTACTTTTACAAGAGAAAAGATGATGTGGCTGGTTTTGCATTACCTAATGTTATGCAAGTCCAGTTTGTTTATTCATCTCTGTTAATGTGGAAAACATTTCAATGAGGAACTATAAATAAGAGGAATCGTTCACAGGGCCAGATGGCACAGTAACAACATGCGCTGTGGTTAAATGATGGGAGAAGCTTAAACCTGTTGGTAAACTAGGCTATGATCATGTCACAGAAGGGAAAAAAACTGTCTATAGGAACATTACTTCAACAGAAATACAAGTGTACTGCCTGTCTCATTCTGACAAATCCATATGGCAGCCCTACATTATATATTGTCAATTTAAGTAGGTTGCAAATATTGCATCATATGCAGCCGTTTTTTTTATGCTCAAATATGTTCCACTCACTCTTTTGCATTTACAGTGAGGAACAGAAGTATTTGAACACCCTGCGATTTTGCAAGTTCTCCCACTTAGAAATCATGGAGGGGTCTGAAATTCACATTGTAGGTGCATTCCCACTCTGAGAGACAGAATTAAAAAAA